TGTTGCTGTCGCTGTTGTTGTTGTTGTTGTTGTTGTTGTTGTTGTTGTTGTTGTTGATGTTGATGTTGGTTGCTGGTTGCTGGTTGTTTGGCTTTGGTTGCTCTTGTTGATGGTGTTGTTGTGGTTGTTGGTGTTGTTGTTGTTGTTCTTGCTGTTGCTGTTGTTGTTGCTGTTCTTGTTGTAGTTGCTGGCGTTGGTGTTTTGGTTGCTGTTGGCATTTTTGTTTGCTTGGTTGTTTGTTTGTTGGTTGGTTGGCTGTTGTTGTTGTTGTTGGTGGTGGTGGTGGTGTTGGCGCTGGCTTTGGTGTGTGTTGCTGTTTGTCGTTGGTTGATGAATTTGGTTGTTGTTGGCTGTTGTTGTTTGTTGTTGTTGTTGTTGCTGCTGTTGTTGTTGATGTTTGGTGATGTTTGTTCTTTTGTTGTTTTTGTGCTAATTCTGTTGTTGTTGTTGTTGTTGTTGTTGTTGTTGTTGTTGTTGTTGTTGTTGTTGGCGCTTGTTGGGTGTTGGTTGTTGTTTGTTGTTGTGTGCTGTTGTTTGTTGGCGGTTGTTGTTGTGCGCGTGCTGTTGTTGTTGTTGTTGTTGTTGTTGTTGTCGTCGTCGTCGTCGTCGTCGTCGTTGTTGTTGTTCGTGTTGTTGTTGGTGGGTGGGTGGTGGTTGGTTATTGTTTGGTGTTGTGTGTTGATGTTTGCTGCCGTTTGTTGTTGTATGTCGTTGTGGTTGTTGGGTAATATGTGTTGTTTGTTGTTTGCTGTTTGTTGTCGCTTGTTCGTAGTTTGTCGGTTGTTGCTTGTTGTCGTGGTTGGTTGTTGGTTGTTGGTTGTTTTTTGGTTGGTTGATGTTTGTTGTGTGTTCTTGGTTGCTCGGTGTTTATTAGTTGTTGTTGTCGTTGTTGTTTGTTGCTTGTTGTTTGGTGTCTGTTGTGTGTTCTTTGTTGTTCGGTGTGCATTGTTTGTTGCTTGTTGTTGTTTGCTGTTTGTTGGTTTTGGGTTGTTGTTGGTTGTTGTTGTTCTTAAAGGAGACTCTTCCCTGGTCCGCAAAGAGGTCGGCGAACGCTGGCCGCCGCTGCAGGAGCACGACGGCCACTCTGCCAGCTCGCATTGTTGAAGCCATTGAGTCACAGGTGTTTTGCCTCTTCCCAGCAAGCTCAAGCGAGCCGCTCTTGCTTGAGCACGGCAGTGGCCCAGTCCATGGGCCTTCTGGCGGCCAAAAAAGCCAGGAAAGCCCGGCCAGCCACAGCATCAGCCAGCTTGCCGCCCCGCCCTGCATCTGCGCTGGGCGTCGCTAGAAGTGTGCTGCCACGCCAGCTTGGCGACCCGAAGAGTCACTGCCTCATTGCCCAGCCCGCGACAGCCCATGCTAAGCGGCAAGGGCCGAAGTCGGGTCAGCCTTGACGCAGTCTGCGGTGCGCGCTCTCTCCCAGAGGCATGAGCGCCGGGCATTTGAAGGTGCGTCGACTGCAGCTTGTGGCAACGGTTGTCATCCATCGACGTCAGTCCATCACAGGCCCTGCCAGGGCCGGCACAAGACCTCGCTGCAACCTTCTCGAGAATGAGATCGGAATCCCAGGACGGGCGCGAGTAGCTCCAAAATTCCACCCATCCAAAGCCTGGACGTGGAGGGCAAAGCAAGGGGGAGCTGGGGCTGCCCAGAAGAGAAAGACGGCTTGGTTGTTTTTCGAGAGCCCACTCAACAATCTAGAAAACGGAAACAAGGCTGCCCCAGCGGTTAGTATAGGCCAGTCCGCCGCATCCGCAAGAAGAGAAGCAAGTGGCGGGCGCCTTTGCAGTTGTTGAAACACCGCCGGGTAACAAAGGAGAGGTCATAGTGGGGAGCGCGCCACCCTGCCACCGAACTGGTAGGTGATCAAGCTTTCCAGGGCGCAGGCAGCCACGGCCAGTCTGCCAACCGTGCGCTGCTCGGCGCACCTCATGTTGGGAGCCCTTGGCGCAGCGCAAGACAAAGGCCGGGCTGCAAGGGCAGCCCTGCAAGAGCCGCTCAGCGTTGGAGAGGCCTGCTGGACGAAGTGGTCGAAGAGGAAACCTGATGTTGTTCTTGTTGTTGTTGTTGTTGTTGTTGAAGGAGACGCCGCACTTGGTGCTTGAAGAGGCAGGTGAGCGCCGAAAATCCCGTAGATGACCAAGAGTCCCAAGAAGGAGCAAGAAGCAGAGACGTATGTACATATATATACATTCTGAGCCTATCCCGGTAAGTGCGTGTCAGATACTTTCTCACGTCCCTTCCTGGCACTCGCGCAAGCCTGAAGCGCAAAATCAGCCCTGGCATTTGCTGCCCTTGGGGCAAACACAGGACATCACCCCGCGCATCTTGCCATGTGACAGCATCCAAGCGCAATGCGAGCCTCGCCATCCGTCCAACACGTGGCGCCAGAAGCTGGAAGTGCCCCGCTTGTCAGCCAAGAAGGACACCGAATCCGCTCGCTTTTAGGCACAGAGTGGGCAAAGTCCTTGGTCGTGCAGCGCCACAGCATGGAGGTTAACCTTGACGCAGCTTGCGTTGCTCCGACTCAGGTGTGGGAGTCTTGCCATGCCTGTCTGAGCGCAAATCCACAATCTCGAAGGGGCCGTGGAAATGCCGAAAAGGAGCTCCCACGAGCAGCAGCGTCTTAGGCTTTTTTGGCAGCTCTGTTCTCATTGGCCGCAATTTGTGCCGCACTGGATGCTTGCAGGAACACCTTCTGCCCACCAGTTGGCTCCAAGAAAACCACCTGCGCAGCTTGGAAGGAGTCCAACAAATGCATTACTGCCTGCCCGCTGTCCCCTGTGTGCCATATCCCAGATGTTGCGGCATGACTGGCTTGTAAGCCACAAGTCTCGCCGCACAAGTCTTGTCCTCGCACACCTGTTTCGGCTGGCACGCTGCCTGCAAACTAGGAGTTCCAGCGCCACCCTTGAAACCTTCGAGTCGTGTTCACCACCTTCTTGCTCACGATGTATTTTTTTGGTATGGGACGCCACCCTGAGCCTCAAGGAGGTAGGTGAACGCCGAAAGTCCCGCCCATGACCAAGACAGTCCCGGAAGATCCGGGGTCGTGGTCGAGTAGTCCCAGAGGTCGAAGAGCCGTTAGCACGCCGCCGGATGGCGGTCGCGCTGCCAGCCATCGTTGGTCAAACCATCTAGCGACAAGTGCCTGGCAGCATCCCAGTAGTTGCGAGTGAGTTGTTCCTGTTTTGTCACAGCTAAAGAGGCCCAGCGAGAGGCCCGGAGCCGGTCGTTGACGCAGGCCTGGAGGGCAAGGTTGTGTTGCGCAGCCGCCCGCCCAGCCGCCAGCCCAGCCGCACGGTCAGCACAGGCATTGGCAGCCCGGCAAGCGCCAGCATCGGGGTAGCCCGGAGGGGGCGTCCAACGCGGTTGTTTGTCGTGAGAAGGCACCCAGGCGCAGAGCGAACCGGGGCGCCGCCGCTCGAGCACGGCATGCCAGAAGGCCTGAGCATCACCGGCGGTGTCATGGCGATGCGCCAGGCGCGTGACCCGCAAGACGACAGCCTGGTTGTCCACAAGGAAGCGTGAAGGCCGCAAGGGTGGCATGCCAAAGGGCCATTCTCTCGGCATAGGAAGCCGTCTGCTCAGGGCCGACCAGAGGCGAGGCGACGCTGAAGCCATCGAAGCCCGCTACGGCCCAGGCCGCACGAGGAGGCAACAGCCGCCGTAGTGGGAGCCAGGCAGGCCCCGTCGAGCGCCAGAGGGACAGGAGAATTCCCCGCGGCCTTTTGGCCCTGAAGGTACGCCAGCAAGGGAGGGTGCACTGCGTAGTCGTCGGCGGCCCGAATGAAGCCAGAAAGACGGACCATCATCCTGCGCTCAGTCTCACTGGCGTGAGCCTGACCCCAAGGCTGCAGCAGGCACTCGAAGGTGAGGTGAGATCGCGTCGGTTGCAGGTGACCACAAGAGCAAGGCTGCGTGGCGGACCGGGCCTCTACAGCAGCGCCATGCAGCGCCGACGAGGACGCGCCGGTGTAGTTGTCCTTGGCAATCTTGAAGCAGCGCCGCTGGACCTTGAGGGAAAGATCCTGGTGAGGCGCGCACTGGACGTGGCCGCCGAACCGGTAGGTGAAAGCCGAGAGCCGCATCGGCCTGCTGAGCCGTGAGCGCCGCCATGAGAAGGTCGGAGATGGCAAGCCGGCCGGTCTGCCAGATAGGGCGGTCGTCGAGGTGGACCGCGCACCGGATGGTTGGGGCCGCTTGCGGAAGGGCCATGCACCAAAGAGCCATCATGGCATTCAAGAGGGCAGGCGAGCAAGGGTCGCCCTGCAAAAGGCCCCCGACCAGCCCGCGCGGGAGTGGGCTGAAGGGCGCCTTGGTGGGCGAACCCCCGCCGTTGGTTGGAGTAGAAGTGCCGAAGAAGGGCCGTGAGACCCGCGGGAGCCCCGACGATGCGGAGCACAGTCATTGGCCGAATCGCCTCCCAGATTTGGCGCCCATCGCCTCGACAACGACCGCCTGCCGCCACAGAGGGAAGATCCATAGCCTCACATGTGCACCTCACACCTCCTTCTCCTCCTCCTCCTCCTACTACTACTACTACTCCTCCTACCACTATATTACTACCACTATCACTACCAGTAGCACTACTACGCCACTAGTGCTGCTGCTACTACTACTACTACTACTACTACTACTACTACTCCTACTACTACTACTACTGCTACTACTACTGCTGCTGCTGCTGCTACTACTACTACTACTACTACTAGTACGACTACTGCTTTTGCTACTGCTACGACTACGGCTACTGCTGCTACTACTGCTACCTACGACTAAGATAGACTGCTGCTACTACTGTACATATACGCCCTACGACTATACACTACTCCGGGCACGTTGGCCCAAGACGGCAACAACAACACAACCACAAGTTCTCAACTGAACGGCAAATTTGACATCTGCTCAAGCAACAATCTAGACACGCGTAGCTACAGAGCCCGCAGCGACAACAAGAACCAAACACAACAGCGACAGCTGAGACCCACAGAAATGTCAGCCTCGTTGGCCGAGTATGCCACGACCACGCTGGTATCCTGCTTGCTGGAAAGGAGGCGGCACCAAAGTTCTGCCCGGCACCAACCCCGCGACAGCCATGAAGCCTGGGTTGGTCTTGATCCCCCTGCGGCCAGGAGTTACACTTGGCTTTTGATAGTTGGTCTGGAATGATTCATGATCCCAAAACAATGAAGGGTGAGAAGCACCAACACAAACAAGAGACGTAGTTGCAAGGTAGCCCCGTGTCTGCATGGAGAAGCTCCGGCACAAGCGCAATAAACAGATCCGCTGCCTCCACATATGCGGGAATGCTTTGCACTGCTTGGGCTGCTTCTGACTTGGTTGCGTCTTCGTTCATGCCAGGCAGGCGAGCAGTAATCCTGAGTTTGGCAAACTACATCACCACATGTCCCAAAATATCTGCTGAAACTCCAAAGTATTATAGCTAACCTGCTTCCCCCACTGACTTGAAGCCAAGAAAACCTGCAGCCGAAGATCTGAGGAATGGCAAACCAGTCCAGGAACAAGAAACCATCAGCGATCTGCTGCCGAGTTTGGCTAGTCAGGCTGTGCGCCGGTCCAACCAATCGGTACGCGGGAGTCGACGAGGTCCTTAGACAAAATTACCCCTCCACTCCCTGGCATAGACCCAGCCATGGGCGCCAGAAGGACGAAGCCCCTGTAAGATGCAACCGCACGCTTGACAGAATGGATCTGGGCCCCATCAAGTGAACATTCTGTAAACTATTTTTTGGGGATAGTCCCCCTCCAACCCACCAAAAGGAGAGTCATTTGAGGATCTGATTTTAATCCATGTGGAAGCTTTGCCAAGTTGGTTCTTGGGCGCAAGTCCTGCTGAACCTGCAGGGACCCCTCGATCATTCGCCCCAGGGCGGTTCGCAGAATGGCCAGCTGCTGCCCGCTTGGGTCTGGGTGTGCGGTGCCCAGCCACTGGTGGGAGACGAAGATGGTGAACATGCCTGGCCCGGTGTATTCCATTTCCTTGTGTCAATGGAACGACCCTCCAAAAAATCAAGGGACACTGGCTGGTTGCCCAGCATGGCGCACTCAGATCCGTTGGGTGGCCGGACCCTTGCGGTCATCTTTGGGAACACCGGCCGCAATTGGGACCATAAAGCTCAATCTTTGGGACCCCTTTCAAGCGGACACGGGCCAACAGTCCCAAGGACCGAACCCGACAGTCACTGGATTTCCCCTTTGGTTGATCGGCGTATGGCGTCCAATGTCCCTGCTACTTTTGGAAGTGTGGGCGATGGGATTGCAAACTGGGCACGGCAAACGGTTGTGGGGGAGGGAATAGTACTGATATGGACCACGCCCCAACGGGCACAGTCTCACTACCTGGGCAAACAATTCATGCTGTTGCTATGCCGGCCCTGCATTGATGCATGTAACCCAGCACCACCCGCAAACACTTTTGGAGCCGATGAATGGTCATTTGTTCTAAGGGTTGATTCCCCATTCTTTCGTCACACGCGCACTCAGTGCAACGATCGGTCTTTCCAGCCGGTTTCGGCTCAGTTTTTGACTTTTTCTGCAGCGAGCACTGACGCATGCAGAAAGTTGTCCTGCGGGCTAGGCCTAGGGCCAATAGACTAAACAACCCCTTCCCCTGACCTGCCAAAGTCATGCCGCTGCAGGCCATCGATCTTACTGGCAGCGTTCTGTTTTCAGGGGCATCGTTCTTTCCCTACAACCATCGTTCTTTCCCCAGGGCCATCGTTCTTTCCCCAACCATCGTTCTTTCCCCAACCATCGTTCTTTCCCAACAACCATCATCATTTCCCTTCTTTCCCCACCCCATCATTCTGTCCCCCAGCATCGTTCTTTCGATCAAAGATCAGTGTGTCCCTGTTGTTATTTTTTTCGCTTTTGCATCTGTTTTGGGTGAAAATTGGAAAACCAGAAAGAATGGGGAAGTATTGTATGAGGCCATATTTTCGGTTAAAACCCATTCTTTCCAAGCATCCAATTTTCTAGGATTTCCGGTCTTTCCTCCCGAAAGTGATGACAACTGCTGCGTGGGCTGCTGCGTGGGCCCCCATTCAAAGAATGAGGAAGTGAATTGGAAGCTTGTGGAAAATTGGATCGCGGGCACCACTTTGGTGGGTTGGCTGATGAGGGGCCCGCGGTGCCATCAGGAGGATGCTTCAATGCTTGCCGTGAAGCCACGGGCTGTATGCTTGTCAGTGTCGCCTTGGCAATGATTCATGACATGGATGTGGGCAAAACAAGAAGGGCAAGGCTGACCGCCCCTGCTTGGGAGAGGCCTGGTGGGCTGCTGGGAGTCGGCAAAGGGAGAGAATTGGAATTGTTGAGTTTTAGCCTTGCTTGGGTGGACTGCTTTGATGGCAATTGTTGTTGCAGCCATTTTGGGGGATAATTGGGCTAGCTCTTCAGAATGGGGTGGTGTGGCTTAGATTTGTCATGTGCGAGTCCAGTCTTGTTGGAAACGTTGAGCGCTTTCGCACTTTCGTTTTTTGGAAAGCAGCCTATCCTCAACAACCATGCTTCCTCCCACTGATCCAGCCACAACATGAAAACTGGGTTTCTGTAAATGAAGATCTCCAGGGCTCGAGCCGCCCGATTCCACTTACCAGGGGGAATGTTTGACGCAAGGCTCCTGGGCACCATTGGTGCAGCAGGCCCCGCTCGCGCAGGATGCCGTGCGGCAACGCGGGGCCGTCCATCTGGAGGAAGTCTCTCACCTCAGAGCGGGGGATGTCAACGGTGGGTGCCCTTGAGGTAGTTGGGGAGAGGTCAAAAGGAACCCACCCTATTTAGAGAAACACGGGCGCTTTCCGCAAAAACCCAAGGTGGACAAGGTGTAGACTGTTCCAGCGCTGTACTTCCAGACTGAAGCGCAAGAAGCCGGCGCAAATCAGGGCTCCCAGCCTAGGTTCCATGTCCGTTTGGAAACGTCGATGGAACAAGTAAATGAGTCGAACCAAACTGAAACTGGTGGAAGACCGAGGTGACCTAACCATCAATGGCTCCCAGATGTCGGCAGCAAAATGCCGCAAACTCCCAAGGCTTCAGACAAAAAGTCGCCCCGCTCCAAACCTTCCAAACAGAACTCCGTTGAACCGGCTCCCGGTGACTTTATCAAACCAGCCGCTGGTTGCCGTTGATACTGTGGATGGACGAAATCCTGCACCACCTAAAAGACCCTGGGATGATGCTTCCCCTGTAAATACCAACAAGCAATGGTTTGCTATAGTTTCAAATTGGTGCGAACGGATTTCGTCCACCCACAGTATGAAGCCTGCCATGGGCCCAGCGAAACGGGATTGCCACCCACGCGCTTCCGCGCCGATGCCCATGGCCCCTTGCATCCCTTGCCTTCACCAAGTACATTGGGAAGCTGCGCACGTGCGCCGCCGGCGCCGGGGCGCTGCTATTTCCCATGGCGCAAGCTGCCGGAAATGTCCGTCCGAGACGTCCGGGGGCCCGTCGAAACAGGCACGAGTCTTGAGTCAAGGAAACTGATCCTCCCGCTGGGCAAGAATCATCCCCCTGTTGGGCTTCCACATTTTTGGAGATAAGCCCACTTTACTTGATGGTACATTCAAAGGGGCCGTAATTCTTCTGCCACATTTTCTCCTCATGGCTTCCTGCAGGGCGGGAATCACAACTTGTTGGTTTTGCAGGCATCTGGTTTAGCAGGCCCGGTACGCAAAGCAGTCGCGGCTGCAGAACCCACCGTCATGGACCTCCAGGGCTATGGGGACAGGGTCCTGCGTCTATCCAGGGACAGACGCAATGGTACTGTCAGCAAGCCCAGGTGGTTCCTCCTTGTAGTTGAGAACGAGCTAGGGGTTTCTCAGATTGGTATTGTCTAGCAGGCTGATCCCAAATGCAGATGACGCGACATCTGGGAGTGTCTGTCTTTTTCAGGGTACCCTTTTCGGCGCTGGGACCATGAACAAAGACCACCCTTCTTAGAGGGCTCCCGCATTGTCATCAAATCCATGTGTTTATTGGGGCAGCCATCCAATCAGGACTCTGCCACTCGATTTGTTTGTGTTTCAACCTAGGACCCAACCGTTCCAACCGGTAGCTAGTACAGTAAATGAACAAGGTCCACCACAAGCCCTTCAAAGTGTTAAAAAGCATGCGGTGGAGCCCCAAGATTGAGCCTGCAAGTCTTTCTTTCACTTTGCGCGCGCGCGAACCCTTGCTGCTTTTCGCGGCAAGCCTAGCCTTTGGGCTTGACTTCGGCACAGCAGAACGCGGGGCACTGGTCGTCCCCTTCTCCGAGTGAGGCTTTCGTTGCTTGGCAACCATGCCTCAAATAAGCTACGATGCGACAGCTGGGAGGCCACGTGGCTAAGTTGATGTGTCAAACGCCGAAAGGGAATCCTTCACACATCTAGCGCCGGCCAGTTTCGCCTTAACATGCTCAAACTTGAAACGTGTCCAGAATGGGCAGCAGATTTGTCCGGCCCAATGCCAGTGCCAAATCTTTCGGTGCATCCCCTCGATCATTGGGAATGTTCGGGTCCTGAGCAGCGCCGCTTTGCCAAGCCTTGCGACCTGACCGCTAGATTTTTCAAAATGGGATGAGTAATCATTAATTCTAAATCCATCACCCATGGGACACCACTAAATCAAGGAAATCCAGTACCCTGGCACAGGGATCGAGCACTGGTTCTTGGCCCAGGCCAACGCGCTGGCGTCTGCAGCGGTCTTAGGGACACTGGGGCGCACCTACGAATCACAAGAAAAACTGACAGTATATCTCCCTACGCCGAACTGATCCCAAACCAACCCTAAACCCTATCCAAAAGACCCAGGATTCTCAGCCACACCTCCCATTCTGAAGAGCCAACCAAATTTTCCCAAAAAATGGACGCAGAAACAATTGCCACCAAAGCAGTCCACCCAAGCAGGGCGAAAACTCAACTGTTCCCATTTTTCTCCCTTCGCCCGCTCCTAGCAGCCCACTGAGGCCTCTCACAAGCAGCAGCAGTCAGCCTTGCCCTTGTTTTTTTGCCCACATCCATGTCATGAATGATTGCCAATGCGACCCTAACAAGCACAATGCCGGCGGCTTCACGGCAAGCATTGAAGCATCCTGATGGCACCGCGGCCCCTCATCAGCCAACTTACCAGAGTGGTGCCCGCTATCATTTTTTTCTCCCAAGTATCCACTTCCTCAGTCTTTCAGTGAAGGCCCACGCAGCAGACGCAGCAGTTGTCATCACTTCGTGGGGAATCATGCCAAAGCGGCCAAAAAAAGTCTCTGATCGAAAGAACGATGATACGGGACAGAATGGCGGGTTGGAGAAAGAAAGGAAAGAAAGATGGGTTGCAGGGAAAGAGCGACGTTCCTGCTGGGAAAGAACGCTGCCGGTAAGAACGATGTGGCAGGTCAGGGGGAGGGTTGCCTAGTCTATTGCCCCTACAACTTTCTGCATGGCTCGGTACTCGCTGCAAAAAAATCAAAGACTAAGCCGAAACCGGCTGGAAAGACACGAGTGCGTGTGTCAGGAAAGAATGGGGAACCAACCCTTAGAAGGAGGATTTAGGATGGACTTGCCTGGTTACTAGAGTTGGCTAACCCCGCCCAGATCCCTGTGAACAGGGCAAGGTGTTCAGGAAAACACGAAACACAAATACATCTGATTACCTGCTTACTACCTGGTCTTGTACTCACAAAACCTCACGCGTGGAGAAATATCCTTTTGTTCCATGATGTTGTAGTTTACCTGTGTGTTCTTCCTGAGGCATGTTGGCCGGCTTGTGCCGAATTCGGGGACCTAATCCAACAACGAGAGAATACCAGGACAATTGCGAGGTCATTCGCGCAACCAAAATAAACAGTGTCTTGGATTTTGCCCCATGGCCTGTCCGAAATTCTCGCAACATCGCATTGGAAGCCTCCCGGCCTTCTCAAGGACATTTTCACATCCCCCAAGACATGCCCTGCCTTACCCGCCCCCCCCAGGCTTTTGGATATTCTGGGCAAGGTTTAAGGCTTCAGTTTTCGGTACGTTTTGCGCCAAAGGCTCCGCCTGTGCGTCCAGGAGTAGCTTTGTTAACGGCTCCTCCCCCATGACTGCCGCGACTGCCAAAGGCGTGCAGCCATCTAGGATGGCCAGCTTCAACTGGAAGCCGGATAGGCCCTAGCCAGGTGATTCACAACCAACACGACGTGAAAAACACGGAAGAAGTGACACAAATATTGTCAAGCTTGGTCAGCATGACATTCATTTTCGCACGTGAGGGGAACGCCTGCCGGGGGAAAAACAAAAAAAACGCAGGTCTGCTGCCCCTTCCAAACTGACAGGGTATCCGAAAGACACTCTTGCAAGCTAAACTCAACCGCTCCTAGGCTGGTTTGTCAGACGGCCGAAATGCCACGCCCGTCCTCCAAGCCCACTATTCGGGCATGCCTGCAGTCGGGGTTGGCCAACTGAGGCTAGATAGCACATCTGAGGCTGGTTGGGTCACAGTTTGGCTCGGTTAAAGCCAAAGCCCACAAGCTTTGGTGGATGGATCCCGAGTGGCGTTGGACGCACATCGTTCTATCAAACAATCGACGGCATTGCATAGCATGATGCAAAAAAATGGGATGCCGGCCGCCGATGCAACCGGCAAAAAAATCAGATCAGCCTTTCAATTCTTGCGAGCATGGCTCATGTTGAGCGTGTGTTGACCTTCACAGAAAGGGGGTGGCGGCTGATGGGGGGGGTGGTGGCTTCTCACAAAGGCATCATCTTTTCAGAATGGCTTGAAAGGATTATACACAACGAGACTGCTTACCGGGGGGCAGGGATCCCTAGAATATCTGCTTCTGACACCACCCCACCAAAAGGGAACTCCTTGAACAGCGGCCACGACATGATCAGCGCGCAGCAAGACGATCGCCTCATGAAACAATGGCAACATGCTGTTCCCCACCCACATGTTCGAGAGCCGCAAAGGCAATCTGGCTGGAAACCCGGGTCCCAAACCTTTTTGTTGGAGCTTCGGGGTCTTGAAAACGAGAAAGTGAACCAATGACGTGCGGGCATGTCTAAAAGCCCCCCAATCCTTTCCCTACTTTTTCTTGACGATATCGTTGCTTTCCGCTCTGTCGTTTTACAATGTGTTCTTCTAATTGGCATACCGGAGTACGCTTCCGCAGCTCCAGCTCGAAAGCAGCAACATGGAAGCGAAAGTGCAGTAAACAAAGTATACACTTCTGCAGCTCCCGCTGCAGTACATGTGTAGTAAACAAAGTACACTCTGCAGATTGGCAAGTCTAGTTAAAACAACATTATGGTTTTGTTTCCTCCTTATCGTTTTACAGGGTTTTAGCACACCTCCCCACACAACGTCCCACCCTGACTAAACTGCAATTGGGGGGGCTATTAAACAAGCCGATGTGGCACACCGCTCCCCGCATGGTAAGCCTCAAGCACAGCGGTTGCCAGCTGCTTTTTGCCAGGGTGCAGTCTGGCATATGCGCAGTACAGCATGGATATAGTTGAAGAAGGATGTGCTCGCATGTTCACCTCATCTTCCCGACAACTTGCCCGCTAGCCCAGAATTAACTCGTCCCAACACAGTCATGCTAAAAAAAAAACATGAGACACCCGTGAATTATCAAATATGCATAGCGCGTGTGTCAATAGGGCACTGCTTGATGACTTGGAATGGATGTTTGTCCTAGCAGCTGGCCAACAATCCAAACCACCATGGAGACGGGAGGTTTCCCTTTCGCTTCTCCTTCTGTCAGCCAGGCGGCATCTGCGCGAGCGTCAATGAGCACCTTGCTAACCCAAGGACGCGTGTGTAGAGACTTTGGAGGGGACTTTGTGGGGTTCCAATGCGCGGGGCCTTGGTGTCCGTTTTCCGCAGCCACTGTTTCACAGTTTCTGCGCTGGTGAGCAGGCAGGAGTCCAAAATGAAACCGCCAATTCAACTTGCAGAGAAAGGTTGCATGTCGCTTCAGTAGGCACCCTTTTTGGAAAAACCAATGGCGCTGGCAAACGAGAGCCAAACTGGTGGCAGAGTCCGCCTTGTTCCAGCCAAACTGGCCGAAATCACTGGCACCAAGCAGTCGTTGGGGCCCAACGTTCAAGAAGACAAACCGCTGCGTGCCGTGTTGCTTTGTGACTCGGTGTTGCTTTGCCACGGCACTTGCGCCACCTCCAAAATCTGGCCGTTGCTGCGGCCGTACATTGGCACTGCATGCAGAGGCCCGAAACCCATCTTGCTCTCATCGGGATTGCACCTGCGGTGTGGATGGGTTGGGTGGATGTGTGGATAATGTGAACGAACAAATTCGTAGAAACATATACCAGCATAGACCCCAGATAGCAAGAAGGCGTTGTCAGCCAACAAACTAAAGACACCCATTCCAATACACCCGGCACTGCAGCAGTCTTGGCCTGCACGCAACTTTGAGTCTCGCACCCTGCAAGAGAACACTGCAGGAGCACCCTGCAACACTGAGATTTGGCCTGCAGAAGTTACCTGCCACAGCGCCCTCCAACAGTACCCAGCAGCAACACCCCGGCGCAACTCCGAGTCTCGGCCTGGCAACAGCACCCCGCAACAGCATTCTCAGCAGCACCCTGCAGCGGCACCCTGCGCACCCTCGGCCTGGCAACGGCACCCTGCAGCAGCAGCACCCTGTGCAACTCCGCAGCAGCACCTGCAACAGCACCCTGCAACAGCACTCTGCAGCAGCACCCTGCGCATCTCTGAGGCTCGGCCTGCAGCAGCTACCTGCAACAGCACCCTGCGAAACTCGGAGTCTCAGCCTGCAACAGCCCTGCAGCAGCAACCCTGCGCAACTCTGAGACTCGGCCTGCAGCAGCAGTTGCAACAGCACTCTGCAAGAGCCCCCTGTGAACTCCTAGCCTCGGCCTGCACCACCTACCTCCAACAGCACACTGCAACAGCCCGAGTCAGCACCCAGCACAACAGCACCCTGCGCTGCAACAGCACCTGGCCGGAATTCTGAGTCTCACCCACCCCTGCTTTACTTGAAGTTAGAACCCCTACCGGGGGAACAACATATTGTACATGCTCATAGTGTCCTTTCGCAACGTATACGGCTGCCTCTCTGAAACAGAGGTCTTGGGAGCGTCAACTAAACCAACAGGCCGTAGGCAAGGGCTGGCATGTTTGCGGCTGACGTCGCAGGTGGCTTTCCCGAACGCGCTACTTGCCGCTCGCTACTCCAACTGAGCCACGTTCTGAAAACTTTTGGTTGTGTCCTATGGCCTCGCATCCAGGAGCGCCCGGACAGCCTCAGCGCCAGCGCGACTCGCCACACCAGTGACCGCCATGGTGGCGTGGGGGTCCGCCTTTCTTGCGAACCGTCAGAGACGTGTGACGCATGGGAGGAAGTCAGCAACGCGGAACGCGTGACGTGCGGAACAAACACGAAAACACGGGTAACTCTTTGCAAGTGGGCTGGAGAAAACAAGACTCGAATACACACTGACTCCATTTACTGATTTTCCGAGCCGGCCGGCTAGAAACCAAAATCCAGACTACGGGTAACCGCCCTACTCAAGGATGGCACCTGGCTCGAAAAGAAATGAGCCCAAGGAAGCTCCCGGCTAGCAAAAGGCAATGCCTGCATTTTTGCAGCATAAGAAGTAATGTGCAGAAATATATATATATATATATATATACACATATATGTATGTGTGCATATATAGATATAATGTGTGCGACTTCGTGCGTAGCACTTCTTCACCACTGCTTCAGGGCATCTTTGAAGGTGTTCTCACGCTTTTATGCGTCTTCGTAGTATTGCTGAGTCTTCGTCACACTGTCACCTTTATGTCCTCATGGGTGATTTTGGGTGCCTTCGCGCGTCTGGGAGAACCAGGCCGGCCTGGGCAAAACGCCCCTGTTGCAACAGCGACCCTTCCTATCCCTCTACCGGAAAGTGGCGTTGCGAATGCTGCTGCTGAACCCCTGAATGATCCTCCTACAACCGAACCGACTGCCATAAATGAGATCTCGGCGGTACCTCCACCAATCCCACTGACATGAAGGAAATGGGGATGCTGCATAATGTCAACACTGGAGTAAAAACCGAGGACCACATTATTTCTCTGCCCTTCAGCGAATCATTGGGTTTAGGGCGGGTTTAGGTTGGAGGTCTGGTGGGTTTAGAGTGGATTTGGGAGGGGGGGGGGTTGTTCTTGTTTTTTGTGAAGAGTCGGCTGAGGGGCCGTTAAGTGGGTTTGGCTATGGTTTAGTGTAGCTTTTGGGTGGGTTTAGAGCGGGTTTAGGGTACGATGGGCTTGGCTTGGTGTAGGGATGGTTTGGGTACTCGGGCAGGCTTAGGGTGGGTGTAGATTTGGTTTAGGGTTGGGTTTTAGGGCGTTTTGCTGGCTTTCGGGGTTGGTTTGGGGTATGGTTAGCATGGTTTTGGGGATGGTTGTGCTGCTGTACGGTGGCTTTAGCTTTGGTTTAGGGTGGGTTTAGTGACGGCTTTGTGGTGGGCTTAGGAGGGGTTTTAAGGGGTTCGGCTGGGCTTAGGGCTGGTATAGGGCTTGCAGCAAAAGCCAAAAGCCAAACACCCAGCCCGAAGAAAACACCAGACATATCTCAGAAAAAATCAAAAAACCTCCTATAAGAATGGCCCTCCGCATTGCAATGATTATAAAATAAGCAGATGGCTGATTCAAACCTAATTCTGAATTTGATAGCATGGAGGGCGCGTCCTGACAAAACAAACAAGTTGACGGGCGCGAGCGATTCGGCTGGCCTTGGCAGCCAAAAGGGCGTGTACTTGGCCCGGGTGGCGCGCCAAGAAGATCTCGGCCGCAGCAGAGAAATGGAAATCGTGGTTGCAAGGTGGCGGCAAGTCTTGTCACATATTGCCAATGCCGTAGAAAGAAGTTGTTGGCCAGCTTGGGGGTTCCGCAACCAAGTCGAGAGTTCTGCCCTGCGCCTAACGGCAAAAAAGAAAAGCCGAGAGATCGACGCATATGCAACGACAATTAGACGACATGCGCTATGAGAATGGCACTCCCAACAAATCAGGATCGCTTCCTGGACGCTGCCAAACAAATTCGCGCCAGCCAGTGTCAACAAGTGCCAATCGCTTCGCGAGATCGGCGAAACCACTTGGGCACTTGGTCTATCACTTTGGAACAAAGCGCAAGGCCGTCCATAGTTGGTATTGGCCCAATTCCGGGGTTGAATTAAACAATATGTTCTGACTCTGAGACAAATGTCTAGCCTAACACCCGAAAGACTATTTGGAGGAGACCCCAGAAATCATGGTTGGGAATGCAACCATGCCGGTTTACCTGAGGCTGCGCTGCCAATGCTCAGACAAGCAGCGGCGGTGATGCCGCTTCGCGCCGTGGCAGAAACATCGGCCCTCATGTTCAGTAAGGTGGTCAACACCAATGTCTCCTCAAGGTCAGGAGCTCTCTTGCCAGTGCTAGGAAATGTGTTTTTTTTTTACTCTGTGACCCCTTGATGGAACATGGGCCAAAGGTCAAAAGGTCGGCTTTCAAAGCCTGGGCGAGGGAGGAAAGCTTGATGCAGCAACTATCTGACAGTATGTTTCAAAACTCGATGCGTTTCATATTGCTGCAGAGGACTGTTCGAGTACGCAAAGCATACGCCAACAATTAAGGTAACCAGTGCCCGCATGCTTGGCTCCTGCGAGGATTTGCAGGCGACCATCAGCAACGTTTGGCTGTCGTAGTAGCCAAACTCAGATAAGCCCCAGGCTCGTGAGTGCACGTCTGCTTTCAATTCCACCAGTGTTCGTATCATTTCCGGCGCGCCACCCAGGACAGCACATAGCAGCCCGGTCATCCCGCCCTGATCCTGTCGTCGCAAAATCCGCCAAGCTGAATTGAACCTGTCCAATTCCGCCCCTCCCACAGTCAGATTGAAGAAAAGTATGGAAGGAGAGGCCTGCCACCCGGGTGTGCCCACACAACGTGCAGCAACGCACTGCAAACAGTTTTCGGGAGCGGGAGGGCTTCGACCACTACAAATCCCTTGCAACACATAAACATCTACTCAAACCATGATATGGCCTTGTGGATTTACCTCTGTCTGAATGTGCGAGCTGAAGCAAAGATGGGCGTGGATTCTTGTGGGACGTGTCTTCGCTAGCTGCTTACCGTTACCTCAAGCAAGGTCGTTCGAAAACCCTACCTTAGCCCAACATGCTCAAGCGGCATTCCATGCCGAGCTTGGCACCCTCCATCATTGAGACGAATCTGTGAGGCACATAGTGCCCGTCATTGAACGCGCTTTGCCTCCATGCGCCCATGAAATTCTTAAGGGGGGCTTAACGTTGACCTCATTTTCCGCCCGGCGCCTCTTCAACTTCACTCACCCTGGCTTAGCCCAAAGCTTTTCATAAGCCTGCCCTTAAGCACCCCAACCTTAAAATTTACGCTCGCCGCACAGCCCCCCCCCGTGATGCCCTCGCTTGAACTGCCCCGAAACCTCTTAACACATGAAGCCGCTCAGAACCCCCTAAGCCCCCCTTCAGCCCCATGCTTAAGCCCCTGTTAAGCCCTTCTTAAGCTCGGGACGAAGGTCAAGCCCCCCCTGAAGTCCCTCCGTTTAAGGGGGGGGGGGTTTAAGGCTTTAAGGACTTAAGGTCGAAGTGGGGGTGCTTAAGGGCAGGCTTATGAAAAGCTTTGGGCTAAGCCAGGGTGCGTGAAGTTGAAGAGGCGCCGGGCGGAAAATGAGGTCAACGTTTGTAGAGGCTACAGGGGTAGGCTGCAATGTGCCAAAGAACCAAACACTGCACCGTGTCTCACAACATAAACATGGTATTCAACGTGCATTCATCAAAATCAGCACTATCAAAACCGTAAGCCACATGTCTACCCGCCCTCATGACAGTGTGAGGGATCTTGTAACATAACCTGAAATCGGCTAAGAGCGTCCTTGATAGCCTCCTCCGAATCAGCAAAGTTGAACTCCTGGAGGAACTCAGCCATGCCCCAATTCTTCCTGACCTGCGCGCAGGGTGGCAAAACACCGAGCGAAGCCGCGAAAAGCATTCAGCAAACAGCAAGCTCCACGTGATGAGTGGCAGTGAGTGGGTAGAGTTGGAAACGCCCATGTCGCGGAAAACCTTGACTTGCCCCACTCAGCGCGCACAAGGGTAGTCTCGTGACGCCCGTGCACTGCCAAGAGTGCCCCAAGCAAGTACAGAAACAATACTCTGGCTCCTCCCAGTTGGAAGGCTCGCCGCTGCCAACTGTAAGACAAGCACAGCCAACGAGGTGACATGAAACGTACTAGACAGGCCATGCCAGAAAAGCGTGGCCCGTGCTTCCTCTAGGAAAGCGCGCCACGCCCAAGGCAGCAGGAAACAAACAAGCCCCCAGCCAGGAAAAAGGTGGGACCTCCTCCATTAACACCTCGTACACAAGAAAAACACTGCCGATGGAGAAGGGGCGCAGTATGGTGGATATTTGGTCTATCTCTGGATATTGGGCGCGGACTACCAAATAACCAAGTGCCCATGCCCCATTGCACCGTACACTCAATCTGGAAAGCGACAAGCGTGCAAATGCCATGCTGGAACGTCTGAGAAGACAATTCGGACAAGAGTCTGGTAGTTCTTTGCCCTGGGTGTGATTGCACTAGATGCAAATTCAGGAGGCATGATGGGAATGCAACTGGCTGCTTCCGAGCCGGCAATTATTACGACATGACCATTGCCAAATGCAGTAGAAAAACTACTGTAAGAGTCTTTCTCTTCAACGCCTCGGTGTTGGGGGGTCTTTGGGGCTCTCCGACTTCTCTTGGCATGTTTGGCTCTCTGCGATTTTGCTTCCATGCCGACAAGCATTCTTGCGGGTCTGAGCGGGCTTCAATCTTCCCGAACTAACGCAGAAATAGTAGTTGCCCAGCAAATAAGAAATCTGGATTTGCCTTAGTTCAACCATTGATTCACACACACAGACACAAACATAAGCACAACAAGAGACACACTTGCAGCTGGACCAACCGAACGGCCCAACCTGAACGCCAAGTGATCTGGAATAATTTCAACCACGGTTGCAGAGGTGCCCAGCTTGTTTAAGCCAAGACTTGCCACTGCTCCAAATTGTCCAACCAACTGGCCAACCTGGCATTTTCAATGGGATGCAAGCTCAAGAGCTACAAGTGAGATCCCTCGTCAACGCCTGGCCAAGCAACTTTGGCTTGATGGCTTGGTGCAGACCTCGGCCATCGGGTTATGTGTGTCCCTGAACCTGTGGCTCTGCACCGCCCGAAGTTGAACAACATGTGGCGTGGGCACGCGCACACACCGTAAACGTGACAAAATGTCCTCCCTACGTACAGAGGGAAAATGTATAGGAAGGTATCTTGGATTGGGGGTATGCCCCCCAAAGATTGCTTCAGGGGTGGGGCTGCTGTAGGTATATTGTAGGAAATCTTGGGCACGGGCACGTCCGTACTTTGCTTGGCCGAGGACGGTGTGTGTGTGTGTGTGTGTTGTGTGTTGTGTGTTGTGTGTTGCGTGTTGCGTGTTGCCTGTTGTGTGTTGTTTGTTGCGTGTTGCGTGTTGCGTGTTGTGTGTTGTGTGTTGTGTGTTGTGTTGTGTGGTGTGTAAATGTGTTTGTGTGGTGTGTGGTGTGTAGGGTGTGGTGTGTGGTGTGTGGTGTGTGGTGTGTGGTGTGTGGTGTGTGTGTGCGTGTGCGTGTGCGTGTGCGTGTGCGTGTGCGTGTGCGTGTGCGTGTGCGTGTGCGTGCGTGCGTTTGCGTGTGCGTGTGCGTGTGCGTGTGCGTGTGCGTGTGCGCGTGCGCGTGTGCGTGTGCGTGGTGCGTGTGCGGGTGCGTGTGCGCGTGCGCGTGCGCGTGCGCGTGCGCGTGCGCGTGCGTGCGCGTGCGCGTGCGTGCGCGTGCGCGTGCGCGTGCGCGTGCGCGTGCGCGTGCGCGTGCGCGTGCGCGTGCGCGTGCGCGGTGCGGGTGCGGGTGCGGGTGCGGGTGCGGGTGTGTGTGTGTGTGTGTGTGTGTGTGTGTGTGTGTGTGTGTGTGTGTGTGTGTGTGTGTGTGTGTGTGTGTGTGTGTGTGTGTCCGTCTGTCTGTCTGTCTGTCTGTCTGTCTGTCTGTCTGTCTGTCTGTCTGTCTGTGTGTGTGTGTCTGTGTCTGTGTCTGTGTCTGTGTCTGTGTCTGTGTCTGTGTCTGTGTCTGTGTCTGTGTCTTTGTCTGTGTGCTTGTGTGTGTGTGTTGTGTTGTGTGTTGCGTGTTGTGCGTGTGTGCTGTGCTGTGTGTGTGTGTGTTGTGTGTTGTGTTGTGTGTTTTGTGTGGTGTGGTTTGTGTGTGTGTGTGTGGTTGGGTGTTTGCGTGGGTGTTTGGGTGGGTGTGTGCGTGCGTGCGAACGTGTGAACCACCTGACCAAGGTTCCGCCATTGCCTTCGCTTGCAAGGGAACTTGGGCTTTTCCTATCGTGGGTCGTCAAGCGGGCTCCCCCAAGGGCCAGCACGTCGCCCAGGGCATCTCACCATCTTTCATTGATTCGGTTGAATGAAGTTGTTCTGACAGGGATCGCCCTAGCTTATCTCTTGGTTTTTGCCCGGGTTGGACTTCTTACGCTCGCCCCAAGGATCCGTGATGTTTGCCCCTGCCACAAACTCTCCTGGTTAATTAGCTGCCCACTTTAAACCAGGAAAAGCGCTCGGCAACTAAGCAGTTTCCCCCGGCTGAGTGAGATCGGCCAGTCAAGTGGTTCTCATTTCCTCGCCGAGTCCAAACTGCACTAGTTACTACACGACAATCCCCCAACTTAAGTTAAGAAAGACAAACTGCTAGCATTGCTATCCAATGCTACTCGACTGGTCGAACGCTCCATCAGATAGAAGAGGTGTTGAACTGGGGGTCTAGCTTTTGGTTGAGGATCGCACCCCACCAAGCCAGGAAACGGAAATAGGACAAAGGCCCGGCAGAGCGAAGGTGCTGTAGTTTGTTGCTGAGCGCCACTCTCCCCAACTCGGTGACGATGGCCCGGTCGCTTTCTACCGTAAATAAGCCATCCACGATGCGCCTCTCCTTCCGAGCAACTTTCGTGGATCCAACGGGAGATTGACATAGTGCGAACAGAGTGCTTAAAACACTAGCACTGCCCCGAACTGCTCGGACTCCAAGATTCCAAAGGAAACCGACGGGCTCAACGCCCAGCACTCTGTGATATGCAAGAGCCACTAACATGGAACATAAGTGGGGCTGCTGGCAGGTTCTTCCTGTTAATTATTGTGAAGGTTACAACAAGCAAGCTAACACCCGTCCTGAATATCATAGCTGCATGACTGATTATTTCATCGCACAAGCAAAACACACAAAGACTGATCAGACCTAGGCTCATGATGCAAGCCTCCTACTGTCTACTTGTCTGAGATGTTCAACAACGGAGGGTTTGCCTTTCCTAATCCGCCCTCCCTGGAAAACAAACACAGGGAGAGAAGAACTCCGTAGGTCTTGGAACAAATTGTCTCTTGCCCAACAAGATGTCTCTGCGCTGCACCGTGCGTCTTTCAACTCTGGAGCAACATCTGCAGGCACGATCACCTAGATCATGTTCACGCAGGTTACGTAGAAACACACCATAAACAATTTCGAACACCCTCCCTCGAAGTGCCAAGCATCCTTTCAAACAAAAATGCAGCTTTCAAGAATTGTCGGGAGCCTTCGTGGGAGGGCAATAACAGCGACAGGGTCTAGATTCGGCTCTTAAGTCCGTTTGTTTCGGGGGCTCGTCGCAGGCACCGCCACCTGACTATTCACCGCCACGCAACAATTCAGCAGCCTGAGCAAGCAAATCCGCATGGGACGCACAGCGTTCAGGAAGTCAGAGACGTCAGTGCAAATACGCACAAAACAGCATCTCACGCAGCATGTCAACGTACTCTGCGTACATTTCCATGGGACGCACTGGGGTGTGCAACTGGGGTGAAAAAAAACCCCGTGGCCAAACACTATAACGCTATTGAACGTTATCGGTTTTTTTTACTCCTTATCGGTTTACAGTGTGTTGGACAAGTCCCATTTGTTGGGCACTTCTGATTGACTTTCAAGGCTCCAGCTTGTGCTCGCTGCTTAGCAAAGCTTTTTGCAGGGCCGCTGCGGCTGCAGCAGCCATGGTTCAGATCATGGCCACGAAACCAAAAATGGGCTCCTGTCTAGGATTGAGCCGAAGGCAAGCTTTTTCGTTATCGGTGCGTTATCGGTTTCGTTATCGGTGTGGACGGGACCCGAAACATCAAAAAAAGGCAACCGTAAGAAGCTTGCAACTTGAATAGCCCTTTCCCAACGTAAAATCTAGATGGCGCAGCTGAGGCGGCGAGCAGCCGCGCGCCACGGCGCCCGCAGCGCCAGTGAAGTACCAGCACGCTTTCCCAAAGAAAAGAGCCCTGACCCTGAAAGAAGCAGACCAACACACAAATCGCAGGTATGAACACACAACCAAAACATTCCGCTACCTGCATACATGCATATATGTGTGCATCTTATATATATATATATACAGGTATGAACAGATATACATATGTGTATATACATATATACATGCAAATTAGGGGTTATCGGTTTTTTTTACTCCTTATCGGTTTACAGTGTTGTGGCACTGTTCTGCAATGCTCCTGAAAGCTAAGGGATGCCCGAATACTAAACTCAAAGGCGCGGGGTTTTTTTTTCCACCCAACTGGGAAAAGCACCAAGTGGGAGCAAGGCAAGCACTCGCATAGGTTACCAGGATGCCCGCCGCGCTAGCTCCCGCATGGCACGCACATTTGAACGCCGATGCGCGCGGCGAACGCACAACCGTGTCGCCCGTTTCCGTTCCACCGAAAATATTTGCCTGTCTCGCTGTGTTTTCCTAATTCTAGGAGTAGTGTTCCTCAAATGGACCGTTGATTTCTGTCCAAAGCGAGCCGCCCAGAAGGGGTCCCACAAAAGCTGCACACACACACACATAAGTACATCCGTCCACATGGAATTTCCCATCTGGTCCTGCCAGGCGATGGGAAACATGAACTCTGCGTCCCTCGCCGAGAACAGCACGATGATGCTCGGGTCCTCCCTGATTGAAAGCAGGCGGCACCAGAGCTCCGCCCTACACCAGCCGCGGCTGAGCCAGGTGACGTAACTGCAGCGCACACCTCCAGCAATGGTCATGCCCGAAGCAAACACAACCAGCATGGTCTCAAAAGTGCCAACCTTCAAGGTGTTGCTCTTCCCTCTCTACAAACAAATCAACATAGCAGACAAATCCAACCCTCCGGCCTGTATCCACATGCGTCAAGGGAGGCACCAGAGCAATGAACAGGTCAGAGGCTTCCACATACGCAGGAATGCTTTGGACTGCCAATGCGGCATCTGACTTTGCATCAGCGTCATTGACTCCAGCTATCCTGGCAGTGACCTGCAGGGCAAAAAGCCCAGCAGTCAAGTCAACCTCCAAAGAGAAGAAAAGCAACTTGGAGCTGCAGAAAGGGGGTTTTGAAGAAATGCATCTCAAATAAGCGCTTGTGATGTTGCATGGTTGTCGCACGGCGTCATCTGTCAGTCCGCTACTGACTTATAGCTCGAAATGACAGAATGCATTTGCACACATACGTTTCTGTATTATACATATATGTGTATAACACAAATGCGCAACCACACATATGCACACACACACATGCACCTGCACATACGCACGCGCACCTGTAATTATGAACAACCAGAAGTCTATCTGTGTACATTTGTCTGGATCTTGAAGGGGTAGCTATCAAGGATTGACACGGGGCCCTTCGAGAAAGCAACAACCCAGCCGCAATCCCCACTGAACAAAGCCCAATTAGCGCGGCAGCAAGCTCCCCTGTTTATCCGGATGCAAAACTTCTGCCATCTTTTAGGCAACAAGAACCGGAAATTTCCCTGCAAGCCGCGGCAGGCCACGACGAGCTTTCAGCCACCGGCCAGCCCAAGTCAGCGTGATACCTACGCAACAAAAGCAGACAAGCCAAAGTCTGCAGCTTGCACGCGTCAATTGACATGCACATCTGGCCCAGAACCAGAATTGATTCACAGAGCCAGGGAGGCACGCGGGCACACTTTTTGTTTCAGATACCACCTTGTTTGCACGCGAGCGCGTCGCTTCCATCCACCCCCGCATCCCCCTGCCCCTTTGCACACAGCACTCCCCCTATTACCCGCACAGTTTCAAGCGTGTGCCTACTGACCACCATGTCTACACAGGTCCTGGGCGTTAAGGGCATCCGCTGAAGGCTACCAGTCTTTTGCGCATTTTGGAGGGGGTCACCCCTGTGATATGTAAGAATTATCTCCTTGGAGGCCCGCTGCTTGCGCCACCAAGCACCACAAGGATGAAATAGCTTGACATACCAATGTGGCCGGACGAGTCTTGGTCAGCCGCCTGTGGGATCGCAAACCAGTCCAGGAATAGATATCCGTTCGCGATCCGCTCATTGGCGTTGCTGGGAAGCTTCTTGCCAAGATCTACGGCTGAAATGTCCGCCTCAGTCTTTTAAGGGCCAAACGCCAAGCCCACAGGTAGAATAGATGGCCCTGGCACATGGAATAAAACCAATCTAAACCAGTGCCATCTATTTCTATTTAAACTAACCTAAAAAGGGACCTCATTTTGGGGCAACAAATTCAATATGAAAGAGTTAAACTCCTGCTGGCACCACTTAATAATAAAAGCACAAACACGCACCAAGCAAAAGGGTGGGCCCAATGTTGCACGCACGCCTGTAGGTCAAACCCGAGTCATCCCTAATCCGTGCATACTGTTGTGGGTTTGTAGTGAGGCACACCATTTATGTCGACCCGGCCTCAAAGGAGGTGTTCCCTCCAAAAGTTATAGACCCTCCCAACGGTCAAAAAATGAACCAGGGTTTCTACTTACATTCGGGGCTCCCAGAAAATCGGAAAGTGGATTCATTTCCAACGATGCCGGGCGTCTTCCACCGTCAGGGTGTTATCTCGCAGCGACCGCAGCCCCTTGCGCAGCACGGACAGTTGCTGGCCCTCGGGGTCCGGGTGGGAGACCCCAAGCCACTGGTGCGACACGAAGATCACGAACATGCCTCAGGTCCGTAGCTGGGTGTTGAACTGCTGCCCCTCAACACGGCAACCTGTGAAACCCCATCAATAACGGCTCCAGGCGGCAACTCCTTAAATACCCCGTGCTTAAGAGGATGGACCACAAAAGGATTTCTCCCAGACCTGTATTTTCAGGCTTGCCAGGTCAACTTCACAGTGAGGTAGGGTGACCTCGCTATAATCCCCAGAGCATTGAAGCGTAGCATGGGCTAGTTGACAACACAATAGACGTCCAACACAAATGGACCCTGTGTACTCACTTCCGTGATCCATGAATGGGGCTCCAAGTCGAAGCTTTTGCTTAAGCATTCCGAAAAAGCAAGTTTCTTGACAATGGAGAAAGTCCAGATATTGGGCAGTATCGCACTCTCACCTTCCCAATCCCGCGAATCCCACTCAAACCTGTTTAGCAACACACCATGGCAAATACCAACAAGAAAACATGAGCGATTGTAAAGTCCGTGCGTACGCTCTGGGTTGAAGCGTCCTGAGTAAACCCATGCATCTTGACAGCCTGCAATTGAAAAACGCACTGCAGCAATGCAAGGACTGCAAGATCCAACACAGTCACGTCACCTCCTCCACCCTCGATCGAATTCCAAATTCGACTACGGGACCTTGCATTTGGATCAATTTGGCTGCTCACCCTCCACAGGTTAACATAAACCATCTTCCCCAAAACCTGTGGACAACAGGTCAAGAAATTGGAGCCCTGACTGCAAAGTCCGAAGGGGAACTTGCATTTTGCAAACAAGACATGCTAGCGCGCTTTCCAAGGGACATCGAAGGGAACCCGGCCACTTTTAGGGAGTTCCCTCATTGAGTTTAACATTCACCTGGCCCCACTGACCAACAGGCAGCTGCCAGGTTGCCCGGATTCCACTTGTGTAGGAGCCCGCGCTCCTGAAGTACCTGGTACGGCTCTGGCGTGCCCACCATCTCCAGGAAGTCGGAAATCTGGAGTTGCAACAGAGGTAAAGGTTGTTGCTTTCATTTGTCGTGATTGTGTTGCGTTTCGTTTTGCCTGTGACTCATGTAAACTAGAAGATGGGTGGCCCGAAAGCATGTTCCATGACCAGCAACCTACATCGTTCCATTTTTCCAACTATGCATTTCGCTAATGAAATGCATAAAGGCATGCATAAGGCAAGTACAGAGTAAAGTGCATAGATGCATGCACGGGGAAAGTAAAAAATTAAATGCAAAGAGGCATGCACAGAGTAGACCGTGAAATGCATAGAGGCATGCACAGGGCAAGTACAGAGTGAAGTGCACCGAGGCATGCACAAGGAAAGTAGGCCGTGAAATGCATTGAGGCATGCATAGGGCAAGTACAGAGTGAAATTCATAGATGCATGAAAAGGGAAAGTAGACAGTGAAATGCATGGAGGCATGCACCGGGAAAGTAGACAGGGAAATGCGTGGGGCAAGGACAGAGTGAAATGCAAAGATGCATGCACAGGGAAACTAGGCAGCGAATTGCATACAGGCATGCAGAGGGAAAGTAGACAGTGCAACGGCATAGAGGCATGCACAGGGAAAGCAGACAGTGAAATGCATAGAGGCATGCATAGGGCAAGTACAGAGTGAAGCGCATTGACGCATGCACAGGGAAAGTAAACAATGAACTGCATAGAGGCATGCGCAGAGTAGACAGTGAAATGCATAGAGGCATGCGCAGGGCAAGTACCAAGTTAGGTGCATAGAGGCATGCGCAGGAAAGTAGACATTGAATTGGAAAGATGGGGCAAGCGCAGAGTGAAGTGCGTGGAGGCATGCGCAGGGAAAGTAGACAGTGAAACGCATGGAGGCACGCGCAGGGAAAGTAGGCAGTGAAATGCCTAGTGCATGCGCAGGGGAAGTAGACACTGAAATGCATAGAGGCATGCGCAGGGCAAGTACAGAGTGAGATGCATAATGCACAGGGCAAGAAGTGCAGAGTGAAATGCGTACAGGCATGCGCAGGGAAAGTAGACAGTGAAATGTATAGAGGCATGCGTAAGGCATTCACAGAGTGAAGTGCATAGATGCATGGGCAGGGAAAGTAGGCAGTGAAATGCATAGAGGCATGCATAGGGGAAGTACAGAGTGAAATGCATAGATGCATGAACAGGGAAAGTAGACAGGTGAAACGCATGGAGGCATGCAAAGGGCAGACAGTGAAATGCCAAGAGGCATGCGTTGGGCAAGTACAGAGTGAAGTGCATAGATGCACGCACAGGGAAAGTAGACAGTGAAATGCATGGAGGCAGGCACAGGGAAAGTAGACAGTGAAATGCCTAGAGCATGCGCAGGGAAAGTAGACAGTGAAATGCATGGAGGCATGCGTAGGGCAAGTACGGAGTGAGGTGCATAATGCACAGGGCAAGTGCAGAGAGTGAAGTGCATAGACGCATGGACAGTGAGATGCATAGAGGCATGCACAGAGTAGACGTCTACTTGCCCTATGCATGCCTTTATGCATTTCACTGTGCGCTTTCTCTAGGCATGCACTTTCCGACTTTAAAGCCGGAGCTGCGGGGAAGTACTTCGCGCACAACTTTTGTACTTCAATGTGACGACTTTGCAGCCGGAGCTGCGGGGACGCACTTCGCATACATAGTATTTTTGTAATTCAAAGTCCCCGCAGAGGGTCGCGCGCGCACGGCAAGAATCGCAAAAAACGATCAGCTTTTGCACATCAACCGCGCCGATCCCCGCAGTCGCGCGGGCACGTTGAAGATCGTGAAAAACTCTCAATTTTTGCACATCGACCACGCTGATCCGCGCAGAGGGCCGGGAGCGTCACGCAAGAATCGAAAAAATACCCACAGTTTTTTTGCACATCGGCCGCGCCGACCCCTGAGAAGGTCTGATTTTCGCTAAGCACGGTGGGTCCCACCGCGCCGCCTTAAGATACTGAATCTTAAGAAACGTGCAAGTTTCCTCGTGCAAGATAGGCTCGTGCGAGACGGAAAAGTTAGGCTCGTGCGAGAAGGAATGCAAGATTGCTACGCATTTCACTGTGGACTTTTCCTATGCATGCCTCTATGCATTTCACTGTCTACTTTCCCTGCGCATGCTTCTATGCAGTTTACTGCGCACTGTCCCTATGCATGCATCTATGCATTTCACTGTCTACTTTTCCTGCGCATGCCTCTGTGCATTTCACTCTGTACTTGCCCTGCGCGTGCCTCTACACATTTCACTGTCTACTTTCCCCGTGCATGCCTCGATGCACTTCACTCCGTACTTGCCCTGTGCATGCCTCTATACTTTTCGCTGCCTACTTTCCCGGTTCATGCATCTATGCATTTCACTCTGTACTTGCCCTACGCATGCCTCTATACATTTCACTGCCTACTTTCCCTGCGCGTGCCTCCATGCGTTTCACTGTCTACTTTCCCTGCGCATGCCTCCACGCATTTCACTCTGTGCTTGCCCTGTGCATGCCTCTACGCATTTCACTGTCTACTTTCCCTGTGCATGCCTCTATGCATTTCACCCTGTACTTGCCCTACGCGTTTCACTGTCTACTTTCCCTGTGCATGCCTCTATGCAATTCACTGCCTACTCCATGCATTTCACTGCGCACTGTCCCTATGCATGCCTCTATGCATTTCACTGTCTACTTTCCCTGCGCATGCCTCCATGCATTTCACTCTGTACTTGCCCTGCGCATGCCTCTACGCATGTCACTGCCTACTTTCCCTGTGCATGCCTCTGTGCATTTCACTCTGTACTTGCCCTACGCATTTCACTGTTTATTTTCCCTGTGCATTCCTCCATGCGTTTCACTGTCTACTTTCCTGCTCATGCATCTATGCGTTTCACTCTGTACTTGCCCTACGCATTTCACTGTCTACTTTCCCTGCGCATGCCTCCATGCATTTCACTCTGTGCTTGCCCTGTGCATGCCTCTACGCATTTCACTGTCTACTTTCCCTGTGCATGCCTCTATGCATTTCACTCTGTACTTGCCCTACGCGTTTCACTGTCTACTTTCCCTGTGCATGCCTCTATGCAATTCACTGCCTACTTTCCCTGGCATGCATCTATGCATTTCACTCTGTACTTGCCCCATGCATTTCACTGTGCGCTTTCTCCATGCATGCCGCTATGCATTTCACTGTCTACTTTCCCTATGCAGTTGAGATGTGCAGAACGCAACGACTTTACCAGAAAATCAGTTCGTAATGCTTTCGGGAAAAATGTGCGCTTTTGCTTGTTGTTTGTTGCTTGCTTGTGGGAGAGGCCCAGCCAAAAGCTACATCTGACCCTGGCCTTCACCACGTACATGGGGAACAGGCATTGGTGCACCATCTGCGTGCAAGGCTTCGCCGGCTCAGCACAGAGCCCATGGCCATTGCCCATGGCACCGACCAGGATGATCCGGGCGCAGCTGCCTTTGAATGCCTGTGGATACTGCCTGAGTGCTGCAAGTGTGGGTACCCGTCCCGCGCTGTTATAGAAGAGAGCGAAACACATCCATTTTAGCGGGCTCCCCAAAATTCATCTGCTTTTAGAGCAGCCATGCGTTCAGGCCCCTGCCACCAGACGTAGACGTTGCAACCTTTAATGTAGCGTCCAACTCCTCCATGCTTAGCGGCGTAGCGAAAACGCGAGATCCATTGCCAGCCAATCAAAGTTTGATAGCACGCAGTTGAGCCTGCAAATCTTCCCTGTTGTTTGGCAGGCACAAGCCTTTCCTGGCATTTCCAGCCTTTTCGGCACACAGGGGCGGACAACCAAACCAATCCCAGGTGATTTCTGAAATTGGCATGATCTGCTAGGCGGATCCCAAATAAAGACGACACAACATCCGTGTGTGTGTGTGTGTGTCTTTTTTCAGGATGCCCTTAATCTGTGCTGGGGAACCAGGAGAAATCCACCCTTCTGAGAGGGCTCCGCATTTCAGCAAAGTCCGTGTTTATTGGGGCAGCCATAGCAGGACTCTGCCGCTCGACGTGTGTGCGTGTGTGTGTGTGTGAGATTGAAATTGTGATGGGAAGGGCCCAACCGTTCCAACCAGTGGCAAGTAAATGAGCAAGGTCTGCTAGAAGCCCGTCAAAGTTTGAAAGCGTGCGGTGGGACCTCAAGCTCGCGGCTGCAAATCTTTCTTGCAGTTTGCACACGCGAGCCCTTGCTGCTTTCCGTGGCAAGCCTAGCCTTTGGGCTTGGCTTCGGCACAGCAGAACGCGGGGCACTGGTCGTCCCCTTCTCCGAGTGAGGCTTTCGTTGCTTGGCAACCATGCCTCAAATAATAATAAGCAATCATGCGTTAAGCTAGTGGCTAAGGAGATGTGTCAAACGCAGAAAGAGAATCCTTTCACAACCAAGGCCCATCTTCCACAAGCACTAAATCCTGGCATGCGCAAGGAAAAGCACGCTCTTCCCACATCTGGACCCTGCCAGCTTTGCCTTAACAAGCTCAAACGTGAAACGTGTCCAGAATGGGCAGCAAATTTGTACGGCCCAATGCCAGTGCCAAATCTTTCGGCGCATCCCCTTGATCATTGGGGATGTTCGGGTCCTCAGCTGCGCCGCTTTGCACCGAGCCTCTACCTCACCGCTGGATTCTTCAAACAAATGGACGACTAATCAGTAGTTCCAATCCATCACCCGCGGAACACCACTAAATCAAGAGAAACCGGTTCGGTACTCTGGCATAACTACAGATTGCTTAAACATTCCAGACAAACACGGTCTTGGCCTTGGCGTCTGCAGCAAGAAGAATGGGCAGAATGTCTCCGTATGCCGAACTGCCCAAGCCCAAATTTGACTCAAACCCACGTGAAATATTATCCAAAAGACCCAGAATGATTTATCCATCACAAGCAAGGGCAAAGAAGAATCAGCGTCCGACAGCCCAAATTCGACCCGAACCCACCCTAACCCTACCCAAAGACCCAGAATGTTCTATCCATCACAAGCAGGGGCGTTCCACAGGTAACGACCGGCGCTGAAGACCGGCGCTGAAGGGCTGAGGATGGACTTGCTTGGTTCCTAGCGTTAGCCAGCCCCGCCCAAATCACTTCCCGATCTCCTTTTGCCTTCCCTGTGAACGGGGCAAAGTGTTCAGAAAACGCGAAACACAAATACCTGGTTGCCACCTGGTCGTATCCACAAAACCTCGCTTGTAGAGAAGCCGAGTTGGCCAGGGTGTTCTTCCCTGAGACATTTTAATTGGCTTGTTCGAATTGGGGAACAACGAGAGAATACCATGAAAACTGCAAAATCATTCGAACCAACCCAAGTCAACAATCCCTTGAATTTTTGCCCCGAGACCTGTCCGAAATTCCCGCCACATCCCATGGAAGCCTCCCAGCCTTCTTATGAACATGTTCACAGCCCCCCAAAGACACGCCCTGCCACACAAGCCTTTTCAGGCTTGTGGATATTCTGGGCAAGGCTTGAGGCCTTTCGGCGCCCTTTGCGCCAAAGGCTCCGCCTGTACATCCAGGAGCAGCTTTATTAGTGGCTCCTCCCCCATGATTGCTGCGACCGCCAGAGGCGTGCAGCCAGGTAGGACGGCCAGCTTCAACTGGAAGCCGGAAAGGCCCTAGCCAGGTGATTCACAACCAACACGTGAAAAACGCGCACGCAGTGACACAAAGAATGTCAAATTGGTCCGATCAACACGCAGCACGACGTCCATGAGTCTTCGCACGCGAGTGTGGCAGCCGGGATTTGTAAACAGACGCAAGTCCGCCCCTTCAAAACCCAGGATAGTCAAAGACACACGTGCAAGCTGCCTCGACAGGCTTCCTAGGCTGGTTTGTCAGACGGCTGAAACGCCCTGCCCGTCCTCCAAGCCCACTATTCGGGCATGCCTGCGGTCAGGCTTGGCCAATTGAGGCTGGATTGCGAATCTGAGGCTGGTTGGGTCACAGGTTGGCTCGGTTAAGGGCAAAGCCTGAAACTCGAGTGAAGGGTGGCAAGTCCGAAAGCCTTGATGAATAGATCCCGGGATGCGTTGGGCGCACATCGTTCTATCAAACAATCGACAGCATCGCGCAGCATCATGCAAAAACATGGAATGCCGGCTGCCGATGGAACAATCAAGAGGATCAGCATCTCGAAGCATCCCATCATCATCTGGAACGTGCGAACATAAGCACGCGCAGCCCATTTTGAGTTTTGTCCTTTTTCCAAAACCTTCTCAACCTTGACAGAGGGAAATTGGGGGGCGGCGGCTTGTGGGCGGCGGCTTATCGCAATTGGAGGGGAAATTTTCTGGCTTGAATGGATTATACACAACCAGACTGCCTACAGGGGGGCCAGGGTTCCCTAGAATGTGTCTGCTTCTCATTAAAAGGAACTCCTTGAACAGTGGCCACGGCATGATCAGCGGGCAGCATGCGTGAGGTCCTCACGATATCGCCTCATGCTGTCTAGTAAGTTTTGGCACTTCGACCTCAAACAACGGCAACATTGACATGCTGTCACCCGCCTACATGTTGAGTCGCAAAGGCAATCTGGCTGGAAACCTGGGGGGTCCCAAAGCCATCTGCTTGCTTCGGGGTCTTGCACGCGAGCAAGTGGGCCAATGACATGTGGCATGTCATCCTTTCCCTACTCACCCTACTCTTTCTTGACGATATCTTTTTCCCCCTTGTCGTTGCGCAATGTTTCTTCTATTCGGCATATCGAAGTACACTTCCGCAGCTCAGAAAGCAGCAACATGGAAGGGAAAGTGTAGAGTAAACGAAGTACACTTCTGCAGCTCCCGCTGCAGTACATGTGCAGTAAACAAAATACACTTCTGCAGCTCCAGCTGCAGATTGGCAAGTCTGGTTCTATAAAACGTTCTCGTGTTGTTTCCTCCTTATCGTCTACTGGGTTGTTTTGGGACACCTCCCCAGACAAAGTCTCTCCCTGACTAAACTACAATTGGGGGGGGCTGTTAAACAAGCCCATTTGGAAAAGGTCCTATAGGGTTGTAGTGGATGGGGTTGTAGGCGAGTTGCAAAAAAACAAAGCCCTGCCCTCCAATCAGCCCTGCCCACTTATGTGCGTGTGTGCCCCTGGGGCTGCGCTAAGACCAGAGCTTCAAAAGCGCAGGCATTTTGCCGCACACACCGTGGGCCCATTTGTCGAAGAGCCCGGAGCATGGATGACGGGTTTCATGTGAGAGCAGGCAGTTGCGCTTACCGACGGCGTCCGTAAGCACAGCCAAGCCGTCGGGAGCACATACTCAGCCCCTGGGCGCGCTGTCTATTCTGTGGTTGCGCTTACCGACGCCGCCGGTAAGCACAACTGAGCGTTTGAGCCAGGTCGCCTTGCTGGACATCATTCACAAGGGGGCTAAGGGGGCTGATATGCGCAAGCCCCTGCTGGGTTGTTACCACATTTAAACAAATCATGGCCAAATGCTCTTGCTTCGCGCACTCTTGCTTGAGTCTGTGAGCTGGGGGGGCCTGATTGGAAGCCCTTGTGTGGAGAAAAACCGATGCAACTGCAACCCCATCTGCTACAACCCTATAGGCACTCTTCCGACCCATGTCAATGTGGCAAACCGCTCTCTGCACGGTAAGCCTTAAGCACAGGGGTGCCAGCTGCTTCTTGCCAGGGTGCAGTTTGGCATATGCGCTGTACAGCATGAATACAGTTGAAGAAGGATATGCTCGCATGTTCACCTCATCTTTCCGACAACTTGCCCGCTGCAAAGCGAAAAGTGGCCTAAGCATCACGCATGACCGCCCACCTACCCAATCGCCGGAACGGGTCGCACCAGTAACTCCTATGCTCCTCTGTAAAGCTGTGTCCAACATGGAGCCCCAAACAAAGTCTCGTTTGTAGAGGAAGCTTCCTGCCAAGTCTCCAAAGCACGAACCTTTTCTTGTCGCACGTCTAGTGGCCGGGTAAGCCCCAACCCAGAATTAATTCGTCCCAACAAAGTGATGCTAAGGGTCCTTGAGAAACTCGTGCACTATCAAATATGCATAGCGCATGTGTCAATGGGGCACATCTATTGAAAGGTTCAAAGGATCAACACCGATTGTTGATTGATGACTTGGATGGATGGCCGAGTTTGTCCTAGCAGCCCTTGAGACAAAGGGGAAAATCGGGAACTCCTTCTGCAAATCGCTGACCAATCCGAGCCATCTGCCAACGCGTTCAGGCCATGAAACCCTGGAAGCCAAAGCCCGCATGTACATCGTGCATGGACTGGCCTTGAAGCTTGCTGTTCCTCAAGCGAACAGAGCCATGGTGTACGGAAGCACTTGTTTAAGCGGCCGTTTCTCGCGCTCTGGCCTCCTAAATGCTTGGACAAAACTTGACATTGACACTAAAAATCCAAGGGGTGAGCATTTTGGCACTTCACAGTTCCCAGGCCAAAGGGCAAGAAAATCAAAGGTTGTTCTTTTTGGACCATGAGTGATAGAAAGCCAAACGTGGATCGAACATGCAAA